TTGGTGGTTATCCAAGTGGATGCGTGATGCACACATTAATAGTATATGTCATTTACAAAATGTGGCTGTTTCCTTTATTGCTAAAGGTCAACCATCTATGAAAATTTGTTGAGAAATTTTTTTCTCAGATTCTCAGGAGTGCTAGGCAGCTTGGAGATTTTCTGCTGGTTGGGGTCCACACTGACCAGATTGTAAGGTATATCGACTTGCTGCTTGATTTTACTTGTATACACTGTTCTTACCACACTTGATATTGGCAATGGTTTGCACCATGGATGTTTGATTGCTCTGCATAAGACTGTATCTGCACTTCTGCTGTGTCAATATAGCAAAATACAATGTAACTTAATGTTGTTTTGTGCAGTGAACACAGAGGGAAAGGTCACCCAATTATGCATCTCCATGAACGTAGTCTTAGCGTTCTGGCTTGCAGCTATGTTGATGAAGTTATCATTGGTGCGCCTTGGGAAGTTACCAGAGACATGGTGTGTTAATTGTTTCTATTTACTTCCTCTAGAGTGTTCTAAGTATTAGAGCCACTAGGATGTGCATACTCTTTGGCTAAAGCATGCAACTGACCTTAGTTTTGGCACAAATAATGGTTTATTGTTAATGCATCACTTGCACATGCACATGCACACAGAGATGGTGCTGATGCATGCCAGATGCAGAAAATTGATTTAGTGTTGGAATTTTGAACCTCTAGGGATTTGATTCTTGGTTATAAGGACATGATTTTACTGTGTAATTGCTTTATTAGTTGAAAGATTCAGGTTGATACTTCTACAGATAACTATTGAATATATGCTTGCTTTTAGTAAGTTTGTAAATTTAGAACCTAAATAACTCGTGTGCTGAGCTCATGAACACAAGTGGTATATTTTTGGAATCATGAAAATCAGCTTCAAATTAACTAAGGTAAATGGCATGATTTCGATTGTGGATTTTGAACTCTATCCATAGGAAGTGCTCCTAAGGAATAGCATAAACCAAATTGCTGTATTCAGCCAAAATTTGCTCCTTCCTTCTCTAGAGTAGTTTCAATTCATTGATCAAACAACTTCCACCTTAGGTTTCAAATCTCCTCCACCTTGCCGGATTTCTGTTAATAGCAGATGCATTTTTGAATCGTGTATCAAGATATGAAGCATGACTGACTAACAGTAATTTGGATGATCATTGTTGTATGATATCTAGTTCCAAAAAAATCATAAGGTCTTTCTTTATTTGCTTGATCAGGTCACAACTTTTAACATCTCCTTGGTTGTGCATGGGACAGTAGCAGAGAGCAACTCCTTGTTGGCTGTAAGCTAAATTCTTTGATTTCTCAGATGGACTCACTCATCTTTTCTCACTTTTCACGCAACTTAGTGTGCGCGTTGAGGGACTGGGAAATTGAAGAAAATATTTTTCTTTATGCAGGGTGAACCTGATCCATATGCAGTTCCAAAGAGCATGGGAATTTTCTGGATGCTTGACAGCCCTAAAAATACAACGACCACTTCAGTGGCCCAAAGGATAGTTGCCAATCACGAGGCTTACTTGGTATTCCTTGGTTTCTTATCATTGCTGTCCTTGAATGAGTTCAACGTGATTCTGTTTTTCGTTCTGGATTCACTTACCATTCATGCATTTTTGGACTGTCAACTGTCAACTAATCTTCGCACCCCCACGCATTTTTAAGAAATGGTCAGAGAAAAATTAATCAAACGTCATTGGATCCTTGCTAAATTCACTCGGCGTAACTCACCAGTTTGACTCGTAATGTGAGCGATAGGATGGGCCTGTCTAGTGCGACCCACCCATCCAATGGCTCACATCATTCAGCGGGTCAAACTGTTGAGATACAATCAGTTGCAAGGGATTTTCAAGTTTCGTTCAACCGTGAATGAGTTATCATTCGATTTCTTTGTTCTTTCCATCTGCTATTTGAGTTTTAGATCCAATGTCCTTGATTGTTTTCCTCAAGCATTCTACCTTTTAGGATGTTTTGTTGATAATTAACTGCTCCTCAATAAAGCTATGGAAGAGTTCTAACCTTTCTTATACCTCTCAAATAGTTCTTTTTAACAATTTTATGATAGTATCATTGTAACCACAGCTCGCTGCATCATTCTGTGATGTTTTGCTTGCAATTAATCGTCATCTTGAATGCAGAAACGCAATGCCAAGAAGACAGAAAGTGAGAAGAAGTACTACGCAGAGAAAGTACATGTGTCAGGAGACTAAGCAGAGGGATAGTTCCACCGTAGCTGGTTTCGTACAGTTATTTATGCAGTGCACCTCAACCATCATAGAGACGTCCAATCGTTTAATATACATGACAGTCCCATCATTTTTGTTTTGGAAGTTGGGAACACAATTGGGAACACAATTAGATCGACGTAAAAGACCCTCCGGAGAGGCCTTGGACGGGTCATTATATTTTATTCGTCACTTGTTGTAACTTACTTTCAGAATAGAACCGAACCCCCAATAATGTCACTGTTTAAACAGTTAATCACGTCAGGCCTTCCCATCTTTCAAGTTTTAAGCAAATTCATTTTGAAGTTTGAGCTCTTCTGGTTCAGTCGATTACTCGCAGAATCAAAATGGGGGAGGAACTGTTTAAGTGAATTGGATTTGCTTAAAGAGTCGATGCTTTACTCTGGTTTTAACTTGAAAACAAAACAAGCAAAGTGAACAAGACGTGATAAGCCACCATTGAAGAAACATTAACTGGAAGAAATCAAGAATTTCCGAAGCATTCACCATTTTACTATTTCATCTAAACTTTCTTCTTCCAATGAGCTTCTCATCTTGAAAAAGAAACCCTCAAGAGTCTTGTCATGCAGGGAAGTCTCTGTCTCCAAAGAACCATAACAAAATAGGGTTCCCAAAAATAGCCAAGAAAACCAGAGCAACCCTTTCGAGTAGTCTCCCCACTCCATCATATATACATTCTACATTCCCCAATTTCTGACCCTACTTCCATTGCATTCCAGATGAAAAACACTAGCAAAAAATGGAGGCAGATGATAAAACAAGCAAGCCTTCTTTACTGGAACCAAGTAATAGGAGTTGGGTTGGCATTTTGAGCAATCTGTGGCATCATGCAATAATGTTGCTGGGACCACTGAGAAAGGCCATCGCTCCCTGCTCTTATTCCACCAAAGTTGCTGGGACCACTGAGAAAAGCCATCGCTCCCTGCTCTTATTCCACCAAATCCAAATGCCTGGTTCCCTTGTGCTTGCCCTTGCCCTACACTTTCACTATAATTGTTAGTATCATTGTCTTCTTCAATGTCCATTCTTGCCTCTCCCATTTCCTCAAAATCCATCAACTCGACAACACCCTTAGTTTGCGGAGCACTAGCATTATGATCCATCATTGCAATAGCATGCTGAGCATGAGAAGGAACCCAAGGCACCACAGCCATGCTATAATCCCTTCTTGCTCCTGCTGCTGCTGCTTCTTCGTCAGGAGGTTTTACTTGACCAGATTGGCTTGACCATAGAAACTGACCTGCAAACACACAAATTATCTAATTTTAGCGACAACCCATCAATTTTTAACCATCAAATTCCACTTACAGACAAAAGCCCATCAAAGAAATTGGCTGAATCACTTACTTTTGAAGCCTGACATGATGTTGGAATCAAGAGAAACAGAGAAATCATTAGGAGAATGATGAAGCATGTGCAGGTTATTAACAGGCTTGAATAAAACAATGGCCCTCTCTTCATTATCAGAAATTGATGATGATGATGGCGGCGGCTTGATCAATTCCTCAATTTGCACTCCCTTGTTCTTTTTATTAATAAAACTACCGGTCCCTTCTTCTTCTTCAACAAACCCAACTGGCACCGTTGATCCCTCTTCTTCCTCTATTATTGGCGGTAAATCAGCACCCTAACATAAAAACAACACAAAACCCACGATTATTCTAGCAAAGAATCTCGAATTCTCAAAACAAAAGGAGAGGATAGTAAGTACCAGTACAAGACGGCGAATCTTACGAGCAGGAGCGGAGAGGGAAAAATCAGAGAAATCTTCACTGACTTCATCTACTTCTTTTCTCTTCAACATCTTCATTGAACTGTCCAAACTGCTAGATGTTTTGTTCCGTTCCTATGTTTCTTCTATTTTATTTTACTTTGGGTGGTTATATGAAAAGAGGTGGGGAGAGGAGAAGGGTGGAGATGTTTCTATGAGTTTCTGGAGGGATCCAGAGAGCACAACTGATAATTGAGAAAGAAAGAAAGAAAGCACCGGTTTTTTGTTTTATTTACGGTTTTGCCACTGCTTCTTCTTCTTCTTCTATTGCCCTCCTCTCTTTTTTTTATTTATTTTTTAATATGGTAGGGCATGCAGAGGAGAGTATAATAGCATAGTTTACTTGATGCATCTAAAACAACACCAGCTCTACTCGCTCAGAGGGGAAGACACGTTCGTCAGTGTGGAGAAGATAATAAATGACGGGGGAAAATTACATCAGTATCCTATAATTTAGGATATTTTTCATTTACCCATTATAGTTCATAAAATTACAATTTAGGTATAAACCCTCGTATGAATCCCCCATGAATCCCACAGCCTAATCTCGACCTCTACTACTTGTACATGAGGTGCTGAAAATTTATTTTAGTGAACATGACTGAATTGATAAATTAATTTTAAAGAATAATTAGTTTTTTAATTTACATTTTTAAATCATTTTGATTTATAGGATGTTAAAAATATTTTTTTAAATAAAATTATATTTTTAAATCATTTTGATTTACAGATATTAAAAATATTTTTTTAAAATAAAATTATTTTGATATATAAAAAAAGAACACTTTAAATTACAACTCCAATCAAATTTCCAAACACTATCTAAACCTGTAATCAAGAGTCTTGAAACCCACTTTACCAGGGAGGATGCATATAACCCATAAATTATCAGGGGAGCCCCTCGAATTATGTTCATGGTCGAATAAGAAGAGCAGCAACCATTAGCAATTTTAGAAACAGTAAATAAATTCAAGCGCTAAACAAACAACTTAAAGCATAAATGATTAAACTCATACAGGTTGGTGGCAACCTCCAGAATGATTCCCGTCAACATGATCTGCTGTGAAGAAATCACACGCTTATTACGATGAAAATTATACACAACTTTCATACTCCCACCTCTAAACCATATCTATACATTATGCTTCCAGCATCTAGGGGAAACATTTATTGCCCCAACTATATCTGAAATCCTTGTAAGCTTCTTTTCTTCAACTTTCAACGGTTCTTTTCCCGCTTCCATACAATATGAATTATACACATTGTTGGTTCCAGGTTGAGACAGTTAAGCATTGCCGTTGGGAGAGAGTACGAGGATGATGGAAGTATAACTAAGCATAGGGTATAGATTGGCCTCAAGGAAGTGAGAATACTGTTTAACTGCGAGGTCTCTTTCTGGGACGTCACTAGAAAGGAAATCAAACGGTGCAGGCTTGCCAGAATCTACCAGGGGCTCCCATCTGTATCCTGGCCGTTCTGGCAGTGTAATGGTAACCGCCAAATGGCTAGCATTGAAGGCAATGTAGATCTCGCCCTTCACCGAGTCAATCTGGCTCAAAGCATATCAAGAAGTGATAAATCATATAAACCAAGGGTCCTGAACTGACAATAAAATAAAAGAAAAGGGAACCATTAATGCATAAATTAGTTTGAGAATGCAAAGTGGCAAGAGGGTGTATGCAGAAGATTGAGGATCAATGGCAGAGACAGTAATAAAAAAAAATCCACTCATTCTGGGACAGAACCAGCTATAATTAATGTGGAAAACCTTGCGAGACTTGGAATTATTTCAGCAAGTCTTCCCTTATTTCATCTTCCTCCTGTGTCCTCAGTACTGTTTGTTATGCATGAGTCCCATCTTTGGGCTCTATTAAGTTCAACTTAAAATCATGAAGCACGCATTTGTTGGTTATGCCAGCACTCAAAAAGGTCACAAGTTTTGAATGCATAGCCACTCCTAATATTTCCTTTTTCTTGCTTAATCACATGCCCAGAAAGTATAACAACAAGAAGTGGCATGCTAGTTGCAGTGAGAAAGCATACCAGTGTAAAGGCCACAAAACGGCTTGTTTCTGACCAATCTGGTGTACCAGGAGCATGACCATGCCATTGCAGCCTCTCTGCTGTTGGGAAGTCATTCAAGCCAAGGGACTCACATTCACTGCAAGTTGACTACTCATAAATGAATCTGGGGAGAGAAACGAGTGAAAAGAAAGGAAAATGCATAACTAGAGTTCACATCAAGGATATACTCACTGGCGGAACTTGGTCACGAGGCGGCAAAATCTAAAGAAGTCTGATGAGGATTCTTCCTTCTTATCCCAGCGGAAGTAGTTAATCTGCATAGTAGTGGACAAATAGTGAACATAATCAACAGTAAGCTTTGATAGGGGATATGAGCATCTAAGTAGTGGTTGGGTGTAGAAAGTTACATAGTTATCATGGCAATACGTGTTGTTGTTTCCCCCTTTTGTGTGACCATATTCATCACCCATGTATATCATTGGAACACCCTGGTCAGATAAGAGAAATGTCAATTGCTAAACCATCAGGCTAAAAGATATGTAAATGCAAGAACAAGAGTAGAATTTGAGCCTTACTTGTGAAACCATGAGACACAGGAAGAAATTTCTCATTTGTCGTTTTCGCAATTTCTTCACTGAAATGCTGGCAAATTCACCCTCCTATGTAATCATTTTGATGAAACAAAATGAATCCACATAAACCATGCGCTTTAATAGTCTAATGCAAGTACTAGGAAAAACAACAATTGTCATCACAAAACCTGAGAACGGGAGTATGAGTAGCAGCAAGAGTTGTCTTGCAATATTTAACCATTTTGTCATGTTGCTCACTTACTACAGCAAGAAATGAATGCTTAATTCAATGCAAATGAACAAGTGTACAAGTTAGATAAATTATAATGGTCTCTATGTGCCCTAAACCTCATATACTTGTGCATTCCAGATAAATTACATATGACATGGCCCAAACAAAACCCAAGTACAAGCATAGAGTACTTAGTTTTTTTTATTTTTTATTTTTTCAAGATAAAAAGCAGAGTTTTTTTGTTAGTGTTAATACCTGCCCACAATTCCAGCTATTGTTATGATTTTCTCCATCATTGTTGTCTTCACCATTTGCCAAGTTATGCTTCTCGTTATATGTCACTAAATCAGCCAAAGTAAAACCATCATGTGCACATACAAAGTTGATGCTGTTCCATGGTTTCCTTCCTCCTTCCTGATCCATCGACTCATTTAGAAACCACAAAGTACAATGTTGCGGAATAGAGTTTCAAAATAACATGCTCAAATGGATCATAGAACAGAGTATGCTCCAGGAATTAGAATCTATCTTGTGTTACATCAAGTATCCATGTCAGACTAGTCCATATTTAGTAGAGTTCCCTATGAACAGTCCAGCAAGTATATCATTATATACCAGTCAAGTACGGAGAGTGCATTAAATGGTCTGGTAACTAAACCAAGACTATATGAGTGCAGGTACACATTACGAAATTGGTTACATGAAGAGGACACTTGAAATAAAAGGTCAAGAAGTAGTAGTTAATTACAGTTCAGTCATTCTCCTTTCATGTCATATAATAATATTCGCATACACAATTTCATTATATAAATCATTTTTGAGACAATAAATAGTGCACTGCAAATTTGTCATTTAGAGAGTACAAAGGCAAAAAAGTAATTGCACAAATTAAAAAAAAAAAAAAAGGTTCATACCAGTAAACAAGATTAATGCTGTCCAATAAAAGGTTAACAGAGATGAGAACTGAACAAAGAGAGACTAAAGACACACCTGGTATAAATTCGGGCTCCCACAGAGGCATTCAGCAAAAGCCCCAGAAAAACCATCTGTTCCCTTAATGAACTGCCGCACAATGTCTCGATACTAGAAAAAGAAACAGATTGTAAATCAAAACAAGCAAAAACTTGATAGAGATAGAAATGAAAATGCTAAAGTTAAAGTTGCTGAACTTTTTTCCTCTTAATAACAAGGTGAAAGAAATGGAAGGGGTATAATAGACTGCCTATGTATTTTGGTTATACATGCAGCATCGCATTGAGAACCTTGAGTCACCAATTGGAATGATAGAATTGACAATTTTAAATTCACACTTACCTTCCCATTCCATTCTGACCAAATACACCAATGGGGAAACATCCCAACTTGATACAATCCTCCCGCATCCCATGCTTCAGCTATAAGCTATCCAAGACATTTTGCGAGAATTTAAATTGATGTTGTGAGCTTAACTGATCTGAGCACACTTCCTGGGGAGCATGGAGAAAGAAATAAAAAAAAACATGTACCTTAACATCACGGAGTATGGGATCATTACTCATCATGTCAATCAATGGAGGGCTGCTGAGAGGAGTGCCAGTTGTCAGCAAGTCACCTTCTATGGGACTCCCGAATACATTAACTGCATCCCAGAGACTGGTTAAGAGGAAAAAAACAAACTCATCAACATAAAAATTGAAATGTCCAGTCTTCAACACAAGTGAACAAGAACAGGGTCTACAGTGAAAAAATAGGTACAACCTGCTACTTCTAGTCATAATAGAAGCAAGGTCAAAGCGGAAGCCATCTACATGCATCTCTGTCACCCAATATCTGCAAGACGAAAATGAAATAGTGAGACCTGCTCATACCACAGTAAAGAAGAAGAATTGCATTTAAAGAATAACAAACATAGAAAAACCAATAGTGTAAGCAAGGCAACCAAAAAAGGCAACCAATCAAGAATGACAGAAGGAAATAATAGTGTAAGCAAGGCAACCAATCAAGAATGACAGAAGGAATAACGATAAAGCATACACATGTTTAACAACTGGCATACAGTCCTTTCACCCATAGAAACAGGATGAGGGACAAAACAAAGAGACCCTCAAGATATGCCATTTCATGAAGCATTGCCAGCATTTAAATGCATTAATAACATCCACAGCATTATCAACTGAAATAAGTAAAAAAATAACTTTGGATTTTAGGAAATTCCTTTAATTGATGATCCGAGGCTATTTTAATGGCCTCATGGACCATCAGCCATCCGAATTTATTCAACAGCAAACCTCATTAAGAGAAAAAAAAATTCTTAAGAATGCTTCACCACAAAAACCTCATGTGAAATGAAAACCTTCCACTTACCTTTGTGATGGGTATTTACAAAGCTGAAGGTACACTTAAGCACAACATTTTCATGGAGCCTAGACACAAAGCGCAACGAACAAGTAACATGTGATCCAAGTAACTCACAGTTTTAAACCATGACCTTTTCTTATGTCGAAACTAAATTCATAAGGTGCAATCAAGAAACATAACAAAGCTGATAAATATCTCCTTCTAGTTAGTCCATTTTGCTTTACAGATTAGCCAGAAATTCAGAATAGAAAGCTCATGTGCTTCTACCTTAAGCAGTCCAATATAAATTGACGCACAATAGGATGGTTGCAATTGAATGTGTTGCCACAACCTGAATAATTATAGAACTCTCCCTGAAACACCATAAAGTAAAACTTAGCTCATGATAAATCACAATAATAATGTGTTAGATAAAAGATATCACAAATTCTATCTTTTGAAAAGCATCCAAATTCTTATACTCCTTTTTCTCATTAGTTTTCTTCAAACTATCAGGTTTCGCCATGTTGTGACAGAGACAACATAAAAACTCATAAGCGGGACATGGAGACAGAACAGGTATCCATAAAGCCAATACAGTATAATAAAGTCAAAAAAAAAAAAATATGGGCCACAAAGCAATGTTGTGATACCATTTCAGCATATTTTCAATTTATTGTTAGATATTTAAAAACAGAATAAAAAGTAATGGCTTCTTATTTAAGTGATGAACTGAAGAAGTATTGATTGCACCATAAATCTTAACAAATATGAATACAGAAAAACTTGGGATATTAGAAACATGTTTTTCTCCCACAAGATGAAATTAACATATAGCAGCAATATGTTGGTATGTTTCGTTAAATATTTTGGACCAGAATTGAATTGCTACAATATCAAGAACTATACCTTAGGAGCAAGCATGTAATAGATACTGTTATCAACTCCTCTGAAAGACAGAATGGGACCTTTCTCATTTCCTTCTGCTGTGTGATTGAAAACAACGTCCATGAACACCTGCTTGAGTAAAATTAGAAACTAATATTTGATAAACTCACCAAAGACATGCTTTATCATATATCATAACGCAGCAAGTTGTCACCTCAATTCCTCGTTTATGTGCTTCTCTAACAAGAAGCTTGAATTCATTAATTGCATCTTGGCCACAGTTCCTTGTGCCAGCAGATGAGTATCTTGTCATAGGCGAAAAGTAATTGATGGTAGAATATCCCCAAAAATTAACCCTGTAGAAGAACTGTTGGTAAGCATCATATGAAATGTAAAGCATCATTATGCTGTTCCTCAAACATCGTCAATCATCAATACTGTCATTTTATTTTCCAATAGGTGAAAGAAAAGGAAAGAGAGAGAGATAGCAAAAAAATTACAAACAGGAGAATAAGGTGGACATCTCTAGGGTCGCAATAATTTATCATTTTTAAAAAACTGAAAAATCTTTGACAAGTAAGCATTCATAGGCTACAAGCAGTCAAAGAAGCACATTGTTAAAGATCTTGATGAACTCCAAATATGAAATTTGCCATACAAGGACTCGCTTACGAGCTGTTTAGTTATATAAAATGTAACATAGATCTTCTAGTAAACACTCATGAGCTAATAATCTTCAATAGTATCCCAAAGAAAGTCATTGACAAGAAGGAAATTATCATACTTGTAGTCACCCAAGACAGAATTGTAACTGTAGTACTCAAGCTCATTGAATTCATGGCATGGCATTAACTCTATGCAGTTGACACCAAGTTCCTGAAAAATCAGTAAATGGTTAATAAAAGCATGCAGCTATAGATTACTCATAATTGCACTATTTCCAGTGGTGCAAGTAAAACAAACACAGCTTCAGCAAGAAAATACACAGTTAAACATATCTGAAGGAACATACACAAGGTAAAATTCAAAATGCACTAAAAGAAGAATTTTGGGGTCCATTAATTGTAATCCCCAAAACAACAAAAATGAGGATTTTGTGCAACTATGAACAACATTTTTTCTTAAAACAAACGCAGAGAACTGCTTGTGAGATAAAACATACGAGTTTGAAACATACCTTCAAATGATCAAGCTTCTCCACTACACCAAGGTATGTACCAGGGAATTCGGTCCTGCTTGATTCATGCTGTGTAAACCCTCGAACATGCATTTCATATATTATTAGATCTCTTTGTGGATACTTTAATGGTGAATCTCCCTCCCAATCAAACTGAAATCAATGGCCAAATGCTTTAACTAAACTTAGGGCAATAGTCAAATAAACAAGGAACAGGTAGCAAAATACAATTGGAAGCCATTTTCAAATTTAGCAGATTCCCTGCCTGCGAGTGTATAATAATACAATTCCTTGCTAATTTCTTTGTAAACTGACTAGTTATTTAAGGGATAATGCTTGGTAGTCCCTTTTGAGTAAATAAGGCATCAAATTTACGCACACATTAAGTAAGAGAATTATGCCTCAAGTACCTTGTTTTCTGCAGTAGGTATCATGCAGGCCATTTGAGGCCATCGATTATCATCATGCCCCAAAACACCAAACTCCCCTCTGCTAATAACTGACTAGACAAATGAATAGAGTATCAGAGCTCACAGCATTTGCTTATACCTACACTAAAAGGAAAACTTTATGAACAACGCCAGATGATGAAAACGGTAACGGAAGAAACTAACTTTTGCATAAGGGTCCAATACGATCTTAGAAGGATCATAGTAAAGTCCCACTTCAGGAGAAAAGTTCCCATCAAACTTGTACCCATATAGCATATCTTTAAAGTCTCCTTTCAAAAGCACATGCCAAACATCTCCAGTCTTGTTGGTCAAAGGATCAAGAAAAATCTGCTCAGTCACTCTATTCTGCATCAGCAAATGGCCATAAAAATAATCATTCGAGGTACCCTCAATGAGAAGCTTATTAAGCATGAAACTACCAGACAAAACAACTAAAAGAAAAATGACAACCACAATCATTCTTCACCATTATAATATACCCTCCACTATTTATTCACAGCAAAAACTCTTAAAAACGTTAACCTTAAACCAAGAAAACAATCGAGGACCAAATGAGCGTTTCCTATTCCATAAAAATGTGAACTTCAAAGTAAACGATAAACCTATAATCAAGAATCGAAATGGGTCTTCAACTCAATCAAAAAGTATGAACTTAAACAAACAACAAAACTACTACTACAATCATTCTTCACCATTATAATATAGCCTCTACTATTCATTTACAGCAAAAACGCATTAAAAACATGAACTTCAAACCAAGAAAGCAATCGAGAATCAAAAGGGCGTTTCCTATTCCATAAAAATGTGAAATTCAAAGTAAACGATAAACCTATAATCAAGAATCGAAATGGGTTTCAACTCCAACAAAAAGTATGAACTTTAAACAGAACTCTACTACAATCATTCTTCACTGTTATAAAAATAGCCTCTAGTATTCATTCACAGCGAAAACTCATTAAAAATCGTGAACTTCAAAACAAAAAAGCAATCAAGGATCAAATGGGTGGTTTCCAACTCCATAAAAATGGGAACTATAAAGCATATGATAGAGCTACAATCAAGAATCAATTCAACTTCATAAAAACGTGAACATTAAACCCAATGATAAAGCTACAATTAAAAACTAAAATGGGTCTTCAACTCTGCTAAAAATATGAACTTTAGACAAACAACATAGCTGCTACCGAAAACCAAAAAAGGGTTTTGAATATCAATCAACCTCAGGCAAATCAGAGAGTGAAATCAAGCAAAGAGTAGCAGAAACTGCGTTGGCAGAAAATATAGCAAAATTGACACCACCATCACGAACTGTTGCACCAAATGGTGCAGGATGGCCTTCAAACACCTGAATTTTTTTCAATTGAGGCTCCTCCTCCTCCACCACTACTACAGCTGTATCCACTCCTTCACTTGCTGCTTTAATGGGAATCGATGCTGTTGAATTACTAAAAATGTTACTGCCAATTGTTTCTAAATTGGAAGTGGTAACTCTTTTTGGAGGATAGAATTTTGGGGTATTTTGGAAATGGGAAATGAATTTGGGGAGTTGTAGTGAGTGTGAAGGAGAGTGAACTAAGTTCATGTTTTGCAGTTTGAGGGGGGATAGAAAGCGGTTGCTGCTAATTACTGGTACATGATCATGAGCGGCAAGAAGTGGTACATCTTGGTGATGGTAAGCGGTGTGTGTTTGTTCGATGGGGACACAGAATGTCATATATATCTGATCTTAGACATGTGGAGTACCTACTGTTTATGGCATTTTCAGTTGCCTTCGGAAAACTGATTCACATGATCTGGTAAACTATATTTTGTGTCTTCGCGACGATGCTAGAATAATTTTTCGCGCAAGAAATAATGTTTGTGTATCAAAAGCATGATTTGTTTTAAAAAAATCTGCATCTGGTGTTATAGATGATATCGATCAAATAAACTAGTTTTATTTTAATTAACTAAAAAAATATATTACATAAATCATATTTATATAAAAAAAATGATGAGAAAAACTTGGAGAAAAATATTTTTAAAAAAAATAATAAATGGTACATCTTAATTCACAGCTTCTTAGACATGAAAGAATGAAATGTGGTAAAAAAATAAAAAAAAATTGATTTTAATAAACCTAAATTAGTATAATAAATAAAGTTAGCATAATAAATATCTAACTTCAATAATCAAGATTGATTCAACCCATGATATTCCACAAAACTTGTAGTCTAAATTATAATATTAAAAAAACTAATTAAATAATAAAAATCTTTAAAAAAAAATATATTTTTTTATATTTTTTTCTAGTTATCATAATAGCGGCGGAGTTCTAGAGTGTGAGGTATACAATGAGTTGCATGCTGCTACATCATGTGTCATATATTTTTAAAAAAAATCTTAAAGCAAACAATGTAAAAATAAAATTCTTGAATGGATGATGCATCATTTATTTCTAAAAAAAAAAAAAACAAGCATGATTATAAGCATCCAAACCCAAAGACACCCAGTCTTTTTGGTTGAGGCGGGATATATGGCTTGACCTATCAATATCTAGTTTTTTTTATTAATTTTATTATTTAATATTAGGTTTTCATTGATTTTTTTTTTATTATTCTTTAACATTGGTTTGATTTGTCATTCGCTCTCAAAACAAAAATAAAAAAACAAGCTAAAGTTTGGGCTTTTTTTGTTAGGGTTAGGCATGTTGGTTTGACCCATCACCACCTGACTTGTTTTTTTTCTTTGTTTTTTATATAAATTTATTTTTTAATTTTATCCTTTAACATTGAATTTTTATTGATTTTCTTACTGATTTTTTCTAATTTTATCGATATAGGCTTTATAATTTATTTTAGTTTACTTTTTGTAATTGACAACAATCTCAAATAAAAATCTTGGAATTTGATGGGTGTTTAATTTTACGAGCTTATAATTTATCATTACATAATTAAGTAAAAAATAATTAATAATTTTTTTTATTAAACCCGGTGGAGTTCACAATCCAAATAACAAATTTAGTTGGTTCAGTTATGAAACTTGGATTGATTTAATATATTATTGTGATAATAGCTTTTTAAAAAAAGCTTGTCATCTTGGATTTTTTTTTGTGATGTCTAACCATGTTTTTATTATCATCCAGATTATTTTAGGGTCTATCAAATCAAGTAAGCCTCGAGGGATAATTACCAAATAGATTGATTATGTTTATGCATTTCAAAGACCTTATTTCTTTTCACTGTTAAGCATAGATATAAAACTTAATAAATCTTGGTTTTACTTAATAAATCAATTTGATAATTCATCAATCCAGGACTTGGTTAGGTTGGTTTTCTTTTAAATCTTCATGAAATTTTTCAATTTGACTTGGTAGATGAGCATGGTAACCCGTCAACTTAAAACTTAGACGGGTCAAATTTGATTTTAAATAATCTTTAAAGCTTACTTAATCAAATTCAAGTGATTCAATGAGTACATCGAATATCCAAATGACTAAGTTACATTAAAGTGAGATACAATCATGGTATTAAGTATAAAGCTAAAGCATGTAAGGTTTTTTATTATAGTCATTTTTGTTATGCACTCTCTTACAAATAAATATGGAATGAAATAATCAATTTTTACAAAAAGAATCAATTTGATACTCAAAATTATGTTTTACATAATTAAGCTATTTTAAGCTAAAATTTACACTTAATTGCATTTTTTTTAAGAAGATTGGATTGAAAGTGAGAAGACCAAAATGAATATATCAGATAACATAGATGGTGGTTTTGAATTTCATACAAAAGCTTACTTTAGTCCCCCTATTTTTTTTGGTTTGTAAGTGGTTGGTCCTTTTAGTTTTTATAAATTCAATTTTGGTATCAAAATTCATTTAATTTTTCAATCATTTTTTGTTAAAGGAGAGAGAAGCTTGTTGAATTCCAGCTTAAAGAGAAATTAGTTGTTTATAATTATTTCAACCATCAAAATTATTAAAATTGGTGTTAATAAATTATATTTGGCGAGGAGAGTCTTTAAATGGTGGTTTTAAACCTTGATTTTATCTAAAAAAACAGATCTAAGTTGAGGAAGAGGAAATTCATTCGATTTGATTTTGTGATTTGAGTTATTTATTGGAGTTATTGGGTTGCTAAATTAGTTTCTACATGTTTTGGGACTGGTTTTTAACTTTAAATAGGTTGAAAACAAGTTTAGTGAGTTAAAAACTCATAGTCCTAATTTTTTAATCACCGTAATAGTAGATGAAATCTAAGCTAGGAAATGATGCATCATCTTTGTTTTTTTATAAAAAAAATAAAAAAGGGTGAATGATTTTTAAATGAGAAAAAAGACAAGCCCAATGGTCTATCCATCTAGGCTATTCATTTTAGAGGCCTAGTGGGCTGGGCCATATAAAAGCATTGTTGGGCTTTTTGTTTACCCTTTTCTTAGATACAGGAAAAAAATATTTTATCTAGTTAGTTTCATTACTTGGATGACGAGTTTCACAAGTTAAGCCATGACATCCAGTCTATTGTTTTTTTTTCTTATTCAATGCATTTTTAGTACCTCAGTTTTTTTTAAATAAATGCAATTTTGCCCTTTATTATTGATGATATATATTTTTTAATTAACTTAAAATTAAAAAAATTAGTGTTTCACCCTTTATTATCAACGATTTGCTTTTGTTATCTCAGTCTCATGTGTTTGTCATGTTTGTTTTTCTTTTTAGAAAATACTTCATTAAAAAATACTATATTCACTTTAATTTCATGTAAATATATTAAATAAAAATAATTTATTAAATAAAAAATTTATTGAATCTAATGGCGTGCATGACTTGCATCGAGAGTTTGATTGTTTGACTCAAGTTTATTTATGTTTTTTTAATTAATTTTATTTTTTAATATTAAATTAATTCAAGATTTAATTTTTTAATTTGTTTTTTTTTTCAAAATTATACCCGCAACTTTCGCATGTTAACCTGTAATGACCTAAATTGATCCAATGTATTATATTCTCAATGCTAGATAAAAATATCATTTAATATGCAGTTAATTTTAAATTTATAGATAAAATATGTTTATTTTTTTAAAAGACATGTTACTAATACCTTTTTTTTTGTCATCTTTCTTACCCAATAGGCTAGCCTACGTATCATTTTGATGACAATGAGTTTCATTTCATAAAGGTAGTTTGATCTAAATGCTTTTTTTCCTCTCCTTACTTGAGAAAGTAGATCTAACCACATGAATTATTTTAGCTTTAGATGAATTTTGTTTTTTTGAGATTTTTTTTGTGGCCATGGATAAGTTTATCAAGATGTTTACGACGTTTTCTAAGTGTTTAAGGGTTAAAATTAGGTTTTCAATTGAAAAAAATCAAACCCTTAATTTTCCAACAATAATAGAAATCAAATGACACATTATTTATTTTTTTAAGAAAAAATAGTCCTATCCTTTAAGAAATTAGAAAAAAAAGATACACTCAAGTGTGTTAGCTAGGTTAAAAGATCACACACATGAGTTTTTTTTAATACTCAAGCTCACATTATTAGGCTTTTTTTTTTTTACTATTTCATATATGGTTTAAAAAATAATAAAACAAATCATTAAATCCAACCCTTATTCATGTAGTAGTTTGATAGATTGATTTGTGACATCCAATTTATTATTTAATTATTATTTATTTTTTTCCCTCAATATTTTTTTAAATATAATTTCATCTTTAGTTATTGTTAATTTATTTATGACATCCAATTTATTATTTAATTATTTAATTTTTTTGTCCCTCAATTTTTTTTAAATATAATTTCATCTTTAGTTATTGTTAATTTTTGTTTTAATTTAACTTGAACTTAAAAGAATAAAATTTTATAAGTTGTTGCCCATGGCCTTTGCTATCTCGATTCCATGTGTTTTTTATGAATTTTTTATTTTTAAAAAACATATTGTTTCACATAAAAATGTCATGTTTTATATTATTATATAATTAAATAAAAAATAATCTATATAATAAAAAAATTATTGAATTAAGTAATGTACATAACTTTAACTGGGGGTTTGTTTAGTTAATTTAACTTCATTATATTTAACTGGAGGTTTGTTTAGTTAATTTAACTTCATTATATTTTTTTTAATTAAATGTTATTTTTCATTAATTTTATTTGATAATATTAAGTTGAAATTAAACTTTTTTAAAAAAAATTCAAATCATCCTCACAAGCTCTGAAGTCAACCCAAATTTATCAAATTAACCAAAATAAATTAAATATTTTTACATTTGATCAAAATATTATTCATTTCATATTTAAATGTTTGTTTTTAGAAAACACTTTAAACATTTTTTTAGCTCAATTTTTTTTTTATATTATAACCGGCGTCGTATTGCGTTACACTGGGCAATTTCTTTACAAATGTTGTTAAACTCGTTTCATGTTTAAATTACAACTTCAAACTTTTAAAACGACGCCCTTTAAAATGAAAAATATGAATCCCTAGCTTCCCCTCATTGGCAGCCACCACGCACAATGAGATGAATCCCTAGTTCCCTTCAGTTCTTCACTAGCCTAGAACACTTTGCGAATCTGCTTCCAGCTACTACTATCGACTACTGACCTTCAATCTTCGACATTTTAACCACGTCCACCACTGAAGGCAACAACTGATCCAACCACCATTGTTGACTGGAACGCACTCTCTTTCCAGGTAATTCATCATCTTCTTCTTCTCTTTTTATATAATAGTTATATAATCATACTAAGATTTGGTTAGGGGGTTGAATGTTATTCGGCTTTGTTTAATTTAAACCCCCCTATATATATAACTAAATAAATAAGATGGAAAAACAAGTAATTGAAAAGCTAGGAGAGAAAACTAGTAAGACTGTGCGGTGGCCTTGTGTCC